AATCACAAACACATTCACAGTTCTTCCGACCATCTTTTTTTGCCTGGTACAAATCACTACAATCGTTTAGGCCGCATTCCGGGGATGGAATGGTGAAATAGTCTTTTGATGCTCTTCTGTTAATTTGAAAACTCTGTGATGAGCAAATTTCAGTCCATATAAGCAGGCATACGGCAATAAATATTCCTTCAAATAACGCTGACATTTCGTTTCTGATCACAATACAAATGATGCCAAACTAGCATGATCTCTTGACTGGACTCTTCTCTGAAGCCAAACCACTGCATGCACACGGACTTTCGATCCTCTTACTCAAGAAACTATCACTTTCTAACAATCAATTTAGTTGGAGCCATTTAACGGGAAAATGAAGAGCTGTTGTTGCAGAGAGAACTTGTTGTTGAAGATCTTAGTGACTCACTTGATATTAGACCTGGGGTTTCAAGGAACATGCACCTTAATTTATCTCAATTAGAGACGTATGAGATATTTTTGTCCTTGTTGACGTCAGTCATAATGCTTTATTTTGTTATTTCCCGTAAAAGGCACTTGTTTTTTCTTTTTCTTTTTTCACATGGTACCAAACAGCTGTTGAATAGTATTCTGTTTTTCATACAACAGGAAACAGTGTATAATTGCGAGTCTTTAATGGTTGGAGATCTCAGGTGAATACCATCCAAAACAAAACCTACTGGAGAAATAGATCAAGTCATTTGCCAATAAAGGACACAATTGTTGTGTTATCTAACTTACGAGCCTCTAAAAGAATGCTATATAGCGCGGAATGAAAATGAAACTTCTTAGTCAGAGCTGTTCAGCTAAGATACTATTTATTGTTCGTTATTAACGTTAAAGTTATATTGAACGATGTTTATTGAAGGGGTGGAGATTTAAGGCAAACGCATAATATTACCTGGCGATATGGGACTTTCGAAGTGAAATTAAGGCCTCGAACAAAAGATTGCACTTGCATCGGAACGTTTTACTTTCTTTTGTTCTTCAGAGGTATAAGTCAGTATCTATTATCTGCATGCCAAGTCAAATATCACTAAGAATTTTAAGTAGCGGTCCATCTTTACACTTTAAATAGGCTAGCTCTATAACACAAAGGTGTTGGCTTTTAAAAATGTGTTTGCGATTCCGGGCAAAGAGTGGAAAACAAGTAAAAACGTTTTTGTTAAAGTAAGTAAAGTTTTGCTGGGAGCATTAGAGATTTAGAATATAATCTTGGTGGTTTTGATCATGGCACAAAGCGTCCGTCGTTACGTAATATCTGTCTTACGGAGAGTGGAATGAACTGAGATAGTAACGAAACGCAAGTACCACTAGTGTCAGGTTTACCGACGTTTCCGTCTTATAGAGGCGTCCGTTCAGAGATAGTCAACTGCTGATTTAAGTGAAGTTATTCGATATATATATATACATCAGTAGTGATTCCTTTAAGAAAAGGTAGCCCAAGCTCGAAATATGAGCATCGGCGAGCATCGGCATTGTTGCGTAACATTCAAAATATACGGATTTGTGTGGGGAAAAAACCTATTGTTTCTGTAACCTACGAAAATGAAAGGATTTCAACAAAAAACAGCTTACCTTACTTAAAAAGTGTGTTACGTCTCTCCTGTGTGGTCCACGGGCCGATTTATGGCCATTTTATGGGTTTTTATGTAAACGATTTTCTCTATTTCGTAGGTTACAGAAACGATAGGTTTTTTTTCCATACAAATCCTTATATTTTGAATGTTACGCAACAATGCCGATGCTCGCCGATGTTTATATTTCGACCTTGGGCTACCTGTGCTTTAAGTTAGCGGATCTCTATTTTGCTTTATCACATTTCTTTGGACAGATAACGACTTCTCGCCTTCAATAGGGCACTGCACATTCTTTAAGAAAAAACAACAAGAACAAATGAACTGTAAAATATATCTTTAAAGCTTCAAACAACAGAGGTTAATTTTCAAAAAGTGTAGGACTAAACAGCTCTAAACATCACGATTGAAATTCCTTTTTACTGTCCTTCAATGTTGTCCGTCTCCGACCTTCTGCCTTGACTGTGTTATTTCAACCTTCCTTCAATTTTGTTCAAAGGTGTTATCCTAATGTTTCGTTCAATTAGACAGGCAAATGCCAGTGTCTAAATTACTATTTTAGGCTAAATTTCGTGACACAGCTTTTTGCAATTACCCGAAGCGATTCAATACAGCATTTCAATTTGTTCAATTTACCTACAAACAAAACCGGCCATTTGAAAGGCTAAGGTTCCATTTTTCTTCCTCGCTCCGTTTCCTTATAATTTAGCAGTTAGAACAAATAACACGTTAAATTTATGGACGCGCATATTTTGCAGTTAAGATATGAACGAAAATCAAGATGATTGATATCAGCTATTGCGATCATGTGACAGTTGAGCTGCTCGAGTAGGCTGGTGGTGATATTCAAATAAGAAACGGTGATCAAACACCTCATAGTTTTTGTCAGTTCATATTGTGATGTCTGACAATACAATTACAATAGCTGCCAATGAATAGCTGAGACTAACTGAAACATTTCGGTTTCGAGGAAACCAAAAAAGAACAAAAAAAACATCCAAGAGATGCATCCAAGAGTTTCAGATAGGCCAATGTCCGAAAACATTGTTGACGATATGTGAGAATTAGAATTGTGCCTCAGGACACAGAAAGGTGTCCGTTGCTCATTTAACCGTCGGCCGTGTCCGACAAAAATTAATGACATCTTTGTCGGAACAAACGAGCCTGTCCGTTGTATAAGGTGAGATTGAGAGGTGTTCAACTTTGTCACTGGAAACCTATCTGAACTCATTCAGGTCGATGCGTTACATTCATAAAGTTTGCGCATGATCTCAGTATGAAAATCCTATTTGGGTCTATATTAACGGAAATGTTTCAAATTCACTCGTTATTCCTGCTACTCTTTATCTCATGATAAGTAACGGCACTCAAAACAGATCTCTAAAAGTCATTCCCGATTCCAGGCCGCGGTTCCAGACCAGAGTATTAAGGCAATACCTTGATACCATTTTCCACACCATACGTGATATGTATATCTGATCTCAGCATTCCAACTGTTGATTCATACCCTTGATTGATTCAACTGTTGATTCATACCCTAATTTCCAAAGGGAATTACAAAAAATTACCCTTTGGACATACGTGAAAAGCTGATATCAATTCAAGGGGCCGACCCTAAAACCACTTGTTGTAATTTGTCCCTTGCCAGTTCTTGTATCAAGACAGAGCGAGCAAAAGTCAGACCTGTTTAGAACTTCTTGCACGGGTTAGCACAACTTTGTTGGAAGGCATGAAGTTATTATATACAATGGCTTCCTATTTTATTCAATTTATAAAAATATCTTTTCTTTATTTACTTATCTATTTCTAAGAATGTCTTAACTAAATATTTCTTCTTTCTGTAGGCATTTCCGCTCCAAATTAACCGAACAAAGACAACAATCTGGGGGTCGGCTTAACCCTTGGAACGAAGCGACCATTTGCGTCATCAATATTGATCAGTTACCTTCGGAAAATCATAAGAAAGGTCAACAACTTTAGAGAAATTTCTAAACATAAATACAAATGAAGATCAAAGTCATCTAAAAGTGCAAGGATAACCATATTTTGAAATTATGCACATTGCTAGAATTAAGGGCCGATAGTTTTCATTTTTATCACAGTTTCACTCTGGCATTTAGACTGAAACAATAAACCAAACTTCGTCACTATAGTAATAACAATAATAATAATAATAAATACAAGATTAGGAAAAAAGAACAATAACAACAAAACCAATATTAATAATAATAATAAACAGAATACCTCGCCTAAGTGTGTATAAAGTGTGGAAGCCATGATGAAACTATGCAGAATATTTTGTGTAGTTGTTCCAAACTTGTCCAATCAAAATATAAAATGAATCATTTTTAATGACACATTCGGTCGCGTGGTTTTGGTTCTCTTAGAACCTCACGACTGCTAAGTTGCCACCTTTTATATTTTAATAAACACTGAGTTCCAATAAAATGGTTAAAAGTTCATGCGACTATCGTTGGGGATGACAGACACATTGCATTCTTCAAATGCGGAAACGCTGGAATTTCTTCTTACAGTATTATGGTAAACAACAACACAGAGAAATTCTTCAGCAATATTAGCATGCAAAATAAAGCTCTTTTATTCGGCGGAAGTGCGAACAACTTGGAAGCACCTAGAGTTGGCTCGTCCTTTCTTTTCTCTCTTTATTTCCTTTTATTAGAAGGACATTATTCTAAGACGGTCATGAGTGTGGTGCTATTTAATTTCATTTACAAGTTTGTTGAAAGAGTTTTGTGGTCCTAAATCCTAGGTGTGACCATTCATACAAAAGCTGCTACTATGTACTGCAGAGTTTCTCTGTGTTACTGCCACCTATATTTTAATAAACTCTGAGTTCCAAAGAATGGTTAAGAGTACATGTGACTTTCATTTCAGTCAATTTCTGCAACCCTCAGAGCAAAACAATGCCGCTGTATCAAAGTCAAAAGATACCCCTAGTTAACTCAATAACATCGTTGCCTTGAATTTGTGAGTTTGACTCAGAATTTAATTGATAACGTTTGCTACAATCCCAATATAATAATCATCACATAAGCTAGTTAACAAGCACATTTACCAACGACAACGCGACGTGAAATGAGATCACGAGGGCTCGAGCGCGAATTCCGGTGCACAATTTGCCGCTCTACCATTGGCCAAGTCGGTAAACAGATCTGCACGCGCCATCAGCCGCCCGTCGCCACTTTTGTCACGTGGTGTTTGCTATCATATAGTCTAGTGAGAACGTCTGAATCGCTATAAATAAAAGCCGCACTTTTTTATATTACTGGATACTTGTTTAAGAGCCTTGATTTTGGAGAACATTTGTCAGATGAAAGACAAACTATCCTCCGAATACAATGAAAAAGTTATAATTACGGACCCCAGTATTACCTCCACCAAGGGATGATAGTATCCTACACAGCCGTTTTTGTCCCGTCACCTAAGCTAACTCTCCTCAGAGACAAAGAGGGCTTCGTGGGAGACGAGGAAGATCATGAAGATGCCAGAGATTTCCATTTATCATTCTTAGAGAAAAAAAATAGAGAGTAATGCATTTACACTAAGGGTATCCCTGTGATTAACTAGTATCCAGTGCCCATCTCGAGAGTTGCAAGGTAGAAATGATGTTGAGTGCTTCTAAAGGAATTTTAAAGTCAACGGTTGTTCACGGTATATGAATTATGATATGTATTATGATATGCAAATGATGTCTTTTATTGTAGTTTTTAGGATTTAGATTTTATATTTTACCTTTTCATCTTTTATTTTGGGAAATCTTTTATATAGGGTTAACCTCTAGATGTCTCCCAGGCATGCCATCCTCGGAGACCCAGGGGTAGATAGTGGGGGGAGGGAAAGGATGGACATCCGCGTTCGAGAGATATTTTGTGACTTTTTTTTTTTTTTCTCTTGAATGAAGTATTGTATTGTATTGGTATTCAGAAGGTTTCCAAAAATTCCGGTTCGAAAGTACTTGGAACACGGCTCTTCAGGTCATGCCAAAGGAGCGTTTCCTGGAGAAACGGGACTTTTGAAAATTGTCCCTGCAGACGTTCCAAACGGAAAGCTATGTTTTATTTCTTCACCATGCTTCACCTTTAATACCAGTTATAAGTTCTCGCTGCCATACTTTTGATTTGCTTGTCATTTTTGTATTATAAATGATGAATACAAATTTTGCTTACCATTTATATAAGCAATCATTAAGCAACTGCTGTTTCCTTGTAAATGCTAAACAATTAAGGTCTGACAGAAAGGCTGCCTGTGTTTCAACTAACTATTTTCCTTGTTGCCCAAAGTTTGGTATACCTGTGTTATTGTGACTGGTTTTCAGAGGTGTTGTGCGATTGAACAAGGCGGGAAAAAAATCCAGTTTTGTTCTGTAACAGCACCTCAGGCTTATCAAACTCCACCACTAGACCTTGATCCATAACTATCACTTTGTCATAGTCCATAATGGTGTTCAAGCGATGAGCGATAGTTAATACCGTGGATTCTTTGAATCTGTTTCGGATTACATCTTGAATCAGATGATCTGTCTTGTAATCCACGTTAGCAGTGGCTTCATCCAGTATAATGATCTTGCTTTTCTGTAACAGCGCACGCGCTAAACAGAGCAGTTGACGCTCACCAACACTGAAGTTGCTCCCGGACTCTTTCAACTTGTACTCCAAGTGACCCGGTAATTGTTGTACCAAGGTCTTCAACTGAACTTCTTCCAAAGCCATCCACACATCATGGTCGTCATACAAAGAAAAAGGATCTAGGTTCACTCTGAGGCTACCGCCAAAAAGAACAGGGTCCTGAGTTATAACAGCCATGGATCTACGCGCCGCCTGTAGATTGAGATCCCGGATGTTCACGTCATCTATGACCACCTGTGACAATGAAAAGATAGAATTCAGCCCGATTTTGACAGATGTGAATTGATAAATGTAAAGGAGATTATCGCAATTGAATATATAAGAAATTCCTATAGTTGAATAATTAGTATAGATAATAGAATGATTTGTAGTGATCTTTGGCATAAATACCACGAGTGGTATTTCGAAATTGTTTCACGTAATTTCACGAGCCGTTAGGCGAGTGAAATTTGAGACAATTGTAAAATATCACAAGTGGTATTTATGCCAAATATCACGTACAAATCCTGCTATTATTTGCTTATACAACTATCCACGGAAGGTTTGTAATTTTCGCATGTCGGTATTTCAAATTAAGCTGAAATACCACTGCTCCAAGCCAATCAAATTGCAGAAATTTCTCATGTAGTAGTATAATAAATGTTATTCAATTGTACAGTAGAGCCTCCACTGGTAGGCCACCTTTCCATAACGACCACTTCTCTAGAACGGTCCCTTTTTTTGGCGGACAATCCCTACATTGACTCTTGTTTGAACCTTCATATAAAGGCCACTTTCTTTTTGGCCTTTGTGGAGAGGTTCTGTTTTGTTCGTCATTTCTTATTTCAAATGCTTCTTCAATATTAATAATTTACAGTCAAGTAGCCAACTACATTTTTTCATTTGCTGTTCATCCGGCGAATTAGATGACAGTCGGATTGTCGTTTATGGGACCTTGCAGACGAACGCCTTTTTGACCATCACAGGGCGATGTCAATCACCGAGCCATAAATAGCCGTGTCCTCAGTTCTAAGGGTTTTTTTTTACTAAGGAAAAATAAACATCGGAATGGGAAATTACTCCATAAGAAAGAAATAGTTCTTACGCTGCCTTCAGGCTCTGGCAGGCGAAATAAAGCAGCGACTAAAGACGATTTTCCAGCGCCTGTGCGGCCTACTACACCAACTTTTTCTTTAGCAGCGACAGAGATGTTTATGTTATTCAACGTTGCAGGAGCTCCTTTTAAATAAGCCAATGATAAGTCACATAATTTTAAACTGCCTTCGGTTGGCCACGTTTCAGGAGGTTGGGTGTCGGTGTTGTACCCAGGCTCGCAATCAATTTGGGTGTAGGTAAACACCCTTTCTACCGAGGTCATGTGATTTTCTGTTTCCGCGGCCATTTGAATGCCAAACTGCATGCTATCCAACGTTTCGGCTGCAAATGCCAGCGAAAGGCCTGCCAAAGCTACAACAGAAAATATCGACAATTTAACAAGTGAAGTCCATTTCCCTGAGTTAAACAAAAATAATAATAAATAAAATTTAGACTAGTGCTCTAACGCCAAAACGTCCTAATGCCTTGTGTTATGCAAAACATCCATCCATATGACATCCATCAATATGACAGGTTTATTTGGTTAGTAATACCCATGTTATTGAGAATTCGAGCATGTGCTACTTTTAACGTTCTTTGTATTTCACTAAACATTTCTTAATTAAACACACTCCAATTACTTTATTTTAATGACCGTGTTTGGTTACCTTTTGGACAGAGGATACCAATTGGTGTCTTTCACATTGATCATGCAGACTCAATTTTAAATGTGTACACGAAGATCTTACCACACACGCTTCCTTAATCCTAAGTATGGCAACACCCACCTGGACTTTGCGAAGCAAGGAGAGCTCCAACTGATACAGCAGTAACAAGAAATGTGGTCAACATATCTCCTCGAAAAGCAAGCCAGCGTTTTGAGGCCATTAGCATTATCAAGGCTGATGTGTTCTTGTCCTGGTACCTAAATGGAGACTCAAAGGTCATTTACAGTCGACACTGATACCTCTATAAAAGACCGACAACTCGGTTAAACGGACACAAGAGTTGGTCCCTTCCCTTCTCTCCAAAGAAGGGTCACAAATGTATCCGTCTTTGGGAGAGTTGGATGAGTTATGTTTCGGATCGTTTCAGAATCTCAACTTTTATTTCCCTGCTGTATACCTTAACAGTCCACTCTCTCTAAGACGGACACTTTTGGTACCGGCACTAAGTGTCCTTTATGAAGTATTGTCCATCGTGAAGAAAGACAGAAGCCAATGCTAGTGTCCGTTATACCGAAGTATCCGTCTTACATAGTGTCCGTTAAGAGGAAGTCGACAACACATACCTCAAGAATTTTGCCATTATTTTGTGGACCAACAACAAGAATAAGTAAGAAGTATCTGTCTTTTTACCAGTCTCATATTCAGCCTGGCATAAAAACAAATTGCGTTCAAAATTGTATCTTGTTACTCAAAAATCCTCGTCCTTTAAATCCCGTGGTAATAAACCTAGGTTCAGCCCTCGCCCCTTCCGTTAAGTTTAATTCCGTTTCGTTTTCCGGAACTCTGACAATGTTTCGGTATTGCTGTCAACCGTTAAACACAATGCAACCAACATAAAGGCCCAGATCACATAAATCATGTAGTACAGATCTTTGGCCTTCTACAAACAGAACGGAAAAAGTTCAACACTAAACAAATCAGCCGATCTGTTCATTGCTTGGTGTGCTTACTTTAGGGTTAACTAAAACACATTATTTATTTATTATCATTATCATTATTATTATTATTAAAGTTTTTTAGCTCAATTTTGACCAAAAGATGTGATGCAAACCAAGACATGGTCTATTTTGGAGAGAACGCAGAATTGCTTATAGCTATTACTGACCGATAAAACTTCTTCAGGAAGTCATCTTCCATTTCTGAGGAGCGAATCACTTCCAGACCTGCCACAGTATCAGCAAGAAGTGAATACACTGGACTGTTTGTAATCGCCTCCAGCCTCCTGATCTCTCGTGATGACTTCAGATAATATTTTGTAAGGTAAACAAAGCAAATTATCAAAGGAGTGCAAACCAAAAACAACCACACATTTGTTGCTGCTGAGAGACAAGTGGCGCTGAAAAAAATTTGACATAACTGGACTGCGAAGAGAAATTGTCCGGGAAGGAAATCGTCCATATTCCTAATGTCTTTGGAGAAACGATTTAAGATGCGGCCAGTGGGGTTGGTGTCAAAAAACAAGACCGGCGCCTTGAGTACTGCTTTGGTCATCTCATTGTGAAGGTTTTCCGATGCCCTTAGGGCAGCCAGATAGAAGCAGTAGGATGAGACCACTGTAAGAAGCAGAGAGACAGCTGTAATGGATCCGTAGACAAGAAGCGTGACATTTTTTTTCTGCTCTTCATCAGTCATCTCCGTCATTCGTGAAAGCCACCAATAGGGCAAGACCCAAGACACTAGAAAAAAAAACATGTTTTTTAATTTGTTATATCTCTGATCAAGGCATCAGCTCAGAAGTCATATCCATGGATTGAAAGGCAAAAGCAAATACTACCATTTAGAGACTAACAATATGATTCTAACATGGTTTCCCTCTTGTTTTAAGCTTTTTTTGAAGTTAATGTTGAATTTATCTTAATTTTCTATGTGAGTTTGTGCACCGGTGTAAGTTAAATGCACAGCAATGTTTATGTCTCAGCGGTTAAAAATTGTTGTCCATCGTGTAAGGATTTTGATGACATGATTTTAACCACTATTACTCTATAAAGGAAGGAGGCTACAGTACTCGTCAAAAATCTTTTAAAACTTGTGTTTCCTCTCCCCCAATGTTGGTTTGGGTATTACAGTCGTCTCAGTGCTCCAAAATACGAGTAACTAAAACAGTGGAAAAGGAGAGGGGCACATCTGAGTGAGAACAAAGGTGTAAAGAGTGAATGTAGACTTTTTCGAGAAAATTCAAGAGAAACGGTTTCTGTTTCAACGATTTGTGACGAGTATCGTTACTGAGTTTCTAAACTGCATGAACTTAAACCGAACAGATACCTTGGACAACAACGAAGAAGGCAGCGAGGCTGACAATCAAAACTGCTGGAAGCGCTGCTCGAAAATACTTCCAGTAGACTAGCGCCTTGACAGTACCGACCATTCTGTCCTCATCCTCTTCCTTCAGATCCACTCTTTCTTCACGTTTATCTATAGCAGTCACAGCACGGACAGTTTCATATCCAGGAGGGACCTTCATGCTATCCCTAACGTCGGTATCAAGCCTTTCCTGAGTCAAATATGTAAAATTTCCTTGTCGATCTTTGTCCATTTGCCTGAATGTGCCTTGATACACAACGGAGCCGTTTTCAAGCATAAGAACTTTGTCTGCCTGTTGGAGAAATTGTAAATGATGGGTGACCAAAATACGCACTCGTCCAGCTAACAACTCTTTTATACATCGATTGAATAAATGTTTGGCGACTTTCGCGTCCACCGCGCTAAGTGGATCATCCAGTAAGTAGATATCCGCATCTGAATAGATTGCTCGCGCCAGACTAACCCGTGCACGCTGACCGCCACTTAGAATTATCCCACGCTGTCCAATTTCAGTTAGGTCGTTTTTTGGAAAGCTCGTTAGATCTTTTTTCAGGTCGCAGACTTCAACAATCGCATTGTACTTTTCTTCACAGAAAGGCATTCCAAAAACTATATTTTCGCGTACGGTCCCAGAGTATACCCAAGGCGTCTGGGAGACGTAAGCCATTTTTCCAGTGCAAGAGATGTGGCCAGACGATATCGGAAGTTCTCCCAGGATGCTCATCAACAAAGATGTTTTACCACTTCCAATTGGTCCCCGTAATTCCCACAAGTTGTCCACAAGTAGCGGACATTGATACATCTTGGAAAGCTGCACGATCCGATGAAGAGTTCCAAAAGCTGGAGACGTTTGCTAGAACGGCTTGGGCTTGAATTTCGTGATTTTTCTCGCGTTTTCGAGCACTTATCAAAACCGGTTTTCCTGGGCCAAAGCTATCAGTTCTAATAAATTGTGGTTTGTATTGTCTGCCTTTGCAGTAAACCTCCAAAGGAAGCAGGGTATGCACATCTCCTACGTTGACCTTCAAAGAAGCTTTCTTTTCAATTAACCTCTGTAATCTGTCACATGAATTTTTTACATCTGCAAGATTTCGTAAGGAGTCTCCAATATACATTGTTACGTGCATTTTGAGGTTGCTTAGGATATAAAGTAACGTGAACACATTAAACGGAGTGAGAGAATGGCCTGTAAGGACCAATGCCATGACTGAGATAAATCCCGCTACAATACCGCTGGTGAAGAACGACGCATAGATACTTGAGATGATGAATCCTCTGACACGGATCAAACTGATTTCTTTCCTAAAAACATTATTGGAAAATTCATTGTCAGGCCCCGGTTTTTTAAAAGTTGGATAGCATTATCCAGAAGATAAATTTTAGTCTGAGAAAACAGCCTAAATTTCGCGACACCACCACTGGTTTTCCCCTCGAAATGACGTCTGAGAAACGACTGCAGAAATTTTATACTGATGAGGTGCCACCATCCAGATCTGGGTAGTGCTTCTGATTGGCCCATGGCGCGAGGGAATTTTGCTTCAGCCAATCAGAAGCACTGCCCAGATCTAGGTACACTGTCTGAGACACATCATCAGTATGGAATTTCTGCAATCGTTTCTCAGACGTCATTTCGCGGGGAAGCCAATGGTGGCGTATGGTATTAGGGGAAGCAATTACGTTATCCACTGGATACTAGAGATTTATCCAGTGGATAGCTTTATCCACATTTTGAACAACTGGGGCCTGATTTGCATGTAAAGCACTTTAACTCCCAGGTTCAAGATTAAGAAACAGGATGTCCCGAAAAAAAATTCTTCTCGAATCTAAAGATTTAGAAAACTATTTAAAACATGCATTTGAAGAAAGAAAGTCAGACACCGGATTGTGACACATTATCTGTCGGGTGCTTATAGTCTTTCCGCTTAGTGTATATTCATATGATTCAGAACCGCTAAGATGGCTCAGATGAGAATAAGCTTATTCATTTTACTTTTTGATACTAACTGGGGGATAATTACCTATAGCTTCTATTTGCTGAGCTTTTAAAGGAATGAATAATGCCTGAGTGACAACACCGTATTGGTGACTTTTGGGAAAATAGAATAAGATAACCATAGTGAAAACTCGGCTCAAACCTTCTTATTTGGGCAATCAGATCTCTAAAGTTCCATTCCCAAGCGTACATCTTTACAACCCGGATTCCAGTCACAATTTCCTTTATAACCGTGAGTCGTTTATCGGTTTGTGCAGCTGCCTTGTCGCGAATCTTTCCGGCCTTGCTAGCTGCAACCGAATTGTACACGGAGACCAACAGAAAGATAGAAGCTCCTATCATCGCTTGCCAGGCGACTAAATACCACATGAGAGCCAGCGCGCAGAGAATATCCAGGGGAACCAAGGTAAAAATAAAGCTATAATATAATGATCTTTCAATGGCTTGAGCATCATTAGAAACCAGGTTGATCGTATTCTCAGAAATAGAATTCTCTAAAATGCATCTGTTAAGACTGAGAATCTGAAATCAGAAATGATAAAGAAAACTCAGTGTAACATTTCTTTAAAATATTATGTACAGGCAGGCAGAGTATTTCGAGTAGATTTAGGCTATTTGACAAAAAAAAAAAACAAGTAGAAAATGAGGCTTAGTGTGATATGAAAAATACGTATAGATCGAGAAATCTACATCATTCTTTATGTTGCTGTTTTTTATTGGGGCAATATACTTTCTAAATCAAGTTGGTTGTTTAGTATAATTACTAATAGGTGATTATACTGAGATTCGTGCGATCTGATTGTCAAGGGTTGCGTCACAAAGTTTACAGTGCGGACAATCAAACCGGGACACTAGGGAGAAGATTGTCCAATCACAACGTGTTCTAAAAACAAAAGATTCTCAAGGTTATTTGCAAACGGACCAATAATATTAATTCAGGTTCAAACGGTTCACAAAAAAAGAACTTGAGAACTTTTTGCTTTCAGTAAACTTTACGTACCTTCTTTTACTGTATGTTTTCCGGTTTTGAGAGTTCGCACTAAAATAATGTTATGGGGTATGTTGTTATGTTTTCATATACGAGACTAATCACTGCTGCTTTCAGTGAGCGTCTCCAATATTAGGTTTTCCGGGATCCGGGATTTCCCTTATTTGAAGCTCGGGATTCGGGAAATCCAAGCTAGACTCGGGATAGAAAATATCAAGGGAGGTGGGATGCCAAAGATAACCATTGGGATTACGAGATTGCACAAAATATTGGGTGGGGATTACGGATACCCTTAAGTAGTGGTACGGCTTGTTATGGCTTTTTATGTTATGTTTACTTCTCTTACTTACCCTTTTATACACGAGACTAATCACCGCGGCTTTTAGTCTTATGCCTACTACATCCGCCTTCATTAGTCCTTGATTCACCAGAACAGTTCTAACCATGGAGGTCAGAAGTAGACACAAAACAAATGGTAACGTGGAAGCGTAACTGTTTTGAGAAGGCGTGGCAATGCTTTTTAAAAACAGCCACAAGACCCAAGGAAAGATGTTCATTGTTATTGACCACAATATCCTCAGTACTCCCATGACAATTATATCCTTGGAGGGGATGATCCTAATCAGGACCCTCCAAAGACTAGGCTTTGTTCTGCGTAGTTCACACTTTCTTTCTTCAGCCATCCATTCAATTTCTAAGGCTTTCACAAGGCCCTCTGCTTCCGAAGCTGTTTCTGTCGGATGGAGGTGCTTTTCTTCTAGTGGAATTTTGCTGCCTAGCTTTAGGACATTGTCCATCCAAGAGATTGTTAGAAGTGACAAAAAGCCTGCTGTCTCTCTGGGATTTTGTACAGAGGTACTAGCCTCTGCCATTGGCACTTCCATTTTTTGCTGAGCACCTTAAATAGGAAGAAACAGTGAGAGGGGCGATGAGCCTGAGCAGGAAAAGTTAAACTTATTCCCAGTGGCGACCTAGTCCCAGCCCAATAATGGCTAATGGGGATCCACTATAGTGTACGCAAGTACATTCAGTGTCACTGCAATGCTTTCAAAACCGCCTGGGTCAGGGTCAGTTGGGAGAGCCTATAGTCTAGGGTTAAATACATTTTGCCGGCATAATTTGGGGCCTAATAGGCGGAGCATTGAGCATAATGCAGGCATAATAAAAAAAATAATATTAAAAAATTCAGTAATACTTCCGTAAATATAAATATGACACATTTTAACTTTCAAGTGATTTTAGTAAGAAATTAACTTAGTTCAAAGGTTTAGTTGCTACTTTCAAGGTCTCGTTGAGCCATCAGCCAGGCTGCAAACTGATCAGAAAGTAACCTAAAGATAGAGAGCTCCATTGAAAGAAGGCATTTTGAGTGCTTTTGAGAATTATTTGTCCTATCATTTCTTGTAAATTTGTAATTGATTCAATACTATTTGTGTTTCAGGCTTATGGAGGTATTATTTTGTCTGCAGGTATGGAAAGCGCAACAAATATAGCTAAGATCAGTCGAGCAGAATGCTACTTTTCGAGCACAATTTTAAACATAATGATGATGTTTGATGATGTGCTCAAAATTTTGAGCATAATGTATCTAATCCTACGCCGGTCTGCGGAACGGGAGGTCGTGGGTTCAAACCACGGCCGGACCAACACTCAGAATGGTTTTTAAATAACTGAGAAGAAAGTGCTGCCTTTGTCAGTAATGATATCTGCAAGCGGTCAGACTTTCTAGTCTTCTCGGATAAGTACAAAAAAAACCCGTAAGTCCCGTCTCACAGCACTTTCACCTATCTGGTTCTTGTGGGAAGTAAGAGAACCCACACCACTGTTCGCAAAGGGTAGGGGATGACCTAGGCCTACTTTTCCTCATGGGCTGCGTGCGTTATCTGTAAGGAGAGATTTTGAGCTATAAACTTGAGATCCTCCTTCAAGTGTTTTAATGGCTACCCGTAAGCAGTGTATGTGTGTGAGTGAATGTTATTTCAAAAAACAATGAATTTTTAAGAGTTTTTTAACGGTGCATTTTAAACATTTTTGCATGTTTCTCCGATTTCTAAGAGCACAGACTATGGAAATTTTTATTAGTCAGTGGTGGTAATGCGAGTACGTGACGACTAATTCGGCCAATAACATGCAATAAACTTTAGACTTAGTCAAGCATATATTTCTGATTGTCTCCTTCTTCACAATAACGGAGCATGCAACTGTGCAACCACAGTCCTACAGAGCGGCTGACTGTTATTGTTCAAGTTTTATTGAAATGAACAATTAATAGAAACATTTCCCTACTCAAAGATCTCACAACTTATCAATAACTTTCAAAACGTTAAACCAAAACGAGCTGTTTATTGCTGATAGTCATGTTCATGGGCAAATGATCGCTTGGGCAAACTATGCCGGGGACATAAGCAAGCTGTGTTTGCGTGTGGTAGCCATCAAAGCGTGGAGAGCAACCAAAAACAAATTTCAGGGTTGATGGTCAGTTCATTTAGGACTCAAATTACACTGATTTATACGTATCTTGTACGGTGCTGAATTCTTGACTATATTTTTCAAGAAACTTTCGAGGGTGCTTTTAGGAGATTGCGGTAAAAAATCAAGACAGACTGAAAATATTTGACTTTCAAAATGACGCCTGTAATCGTCTAGTACCTCGTCAGTACGTGTTCATGTTCAGTTTGCAAGGGGTCAGTTTGCAGTCAGTTCCCTTGAAATAGGAACAGTTCCCTTGGGGTGTTCCAATGAAGGTGAAAGAGAGTGACACTGGATCAAAATTATCATATCCTATTTTTTCTAAACGTTTATAATTATCACTGATTCTAGCTGTTGTAGGCAATAACAACATATTCGTTACACTAGAGATCGGTCATAAATCTTGCTTTCCTATTTGTAATAAAGGCAATATAAATATTGTTACCGGAAGGTTTTTTTATCTGCTCTGACGAATCCCAAGACTCAGAGCAATAATTTCAAACAATGGCCGTTTTTATACTAGGGACGCATTATCCGTCTAGATGAACTTGGGCAAACATTAACTTTGTAGTTCTTCTGGTTATGCGTCCCAAGTAAAAGACGGGCACAAGACGCATCATGCATCTGGAACAACTTTTCTTCGAAATGCGTCTTGAACGACGCACTACGAAAGGTAGTTCTTGTAGACGGATAATACCTCTTGTGCCTACCTTTTTGCCAGAGACGCGTAACCAGAGGAACTACAAAATGTTTGCCCAAGTTTACCCGGACGGATAATGAGTAATACATAACAAAATTTTTGTTACCTAACCTCATTTTGCATCGCTGATGAAGTTAGACTCTAGCGATTCAAACGAAATATTCCGTCGCAGTGACGACGGTAAGTCGTTTAGTGGACAACGTCTAATGAAGATTCTTAGCTATAACTAAATGACCTAGTTTTCTATTATGGGGGCTTACCGTTGGATTTAGCGGAAAACCGGTTTCTGGAACTGAAATGACCTGTCGACTCAAGCCGTAATAGTGTACACGGGTTGCATAAATGTAGTCAAATGAGCCATTCCAAGCCAATTCAAAATTATACAGAACCAACGCATTAGCAAAACAAAAAAGACAAACAGAATTATGTTTAAACTTAACCAACCGTAAATAAGTTAGCCTGTCCCAGGCTCTCAGATAGTATAGTGGGGACGTAAGAAAACGAGCAAAGCGAAAATAAGACGCGTGCGACTTGGGAAAGGGCGTGGTTTTCGCATTTCTTTTTACTGAACGACTTTTCACCACTGTCTCAGAGCCCGGAACGGGGCATAAATAAGTTCGAGCAGTAGAGAAAAAAAGAGAAAAAACACTTCCGTAGTTCGAAATACTTTGAGATTCTGAAGGAAATCCTGAGCTGTAAATGTAACTCAAACAACATCTCGGGTAAAGCGTATGTTATTTAACATGGAACTTTTTTTTCTGCCTAATTCATTTTAGTCATTTACGAGTCTATTAATGAATTTGTTATCAGGAAGTTGTATCTGTTGGTAGTTGTAGAATTCACAAGCGAGGCAGTTGTGAAATTTCTACCAGCTCAGTCTTCTTGAATTTGATGTAATGTCTTCAGGGCAATTTTATCCATTCAAAGCTTTTTCAGTCTGACCGAATACAGATAAGTTATCTTAAAAAATTCACTGCTCTGTAGATTCGAATTTGAGACTGGTTGAAGCAAAGACCAACGGATTCATTTTTCAATTCATTAATATAATCTAGGAGGTACGCATGACCTGACTCGACTTAGACTTACCACAAGTCGACCTCACGAGTTTCTACTCGAGCGACGAAGTCGCGAGAGCTGAGGTCCCGAGCCATATTAAAGCCGACGAAGGATTTTTTTGAAAGTCTAGACTCTAGTGTAAGGGCTCTTCCAATTATGTTAAACTTTTCGGAAATTTCGGTCGAGAAAAAGGATAAGATACTTTGGTTCGCTTAGAAATATCCGGTTAAAGCTTGTGGTCCACCTCCTGAGGTGGTCCTCTTTGACCAGTTGCACCGAAACGTGCCCTTCGATTTCCAAAAATTCGCGTTTCCAGTCCTACTTTACTAAGCAGTAATCAAAATTTGGGTGATGCTCGATATACCAAGTCAATATATGCACTATTGTCTAGTTCTATAGTGTGAAGTCCATTGTGTTATTGTGTATGTGCTAGGGATCATTGTTGTATTCTTTGTGACGTAACTCGAGACTTGCCATTCACTTGGTATAACGTGCACCAGCCCAAAATTGTGGTCGAAACGCACGTGATTTGTGGCCAATCAGGAGTCAGCATTCGCTTAACCGTTTGGAAATGGTCTGCTTGAGAGTCGGTAGCCAGGGGCTCTTTCGCCCGTGCTGGGAAACGTTCGTCGCGCCTTTTATCCCGGTCCGACTGACTGCCCTTGGGTCTTGGAGGATGGTGTTATTAATGTGCTTATACTCTTGATTGGTCCATTGGTAAGATACCTCGCACTAGTGTTGAGCCAGTCTAGGCCAAACATTTTTCTGTAATTTTTTTTTTCTTAACTAAATTGCAGCAAAGAAAAAGAGAAAATAGAAGGCAGCAGGAGGAAGCTGCCGAGTTGTAAGGTGAGCAACAGACAACTGCAACTGGCATTAAGTAAAGCAATTTGTTGTAATCACTTTATTTATTATTGCTGCTAGGAGTACCCATCTTGTTAGCACCTGAAATCAGCCTTTATCAGTGAAGATTTATTGTGTCTGTATGTACATAAACGAAAGAACTCGGCCGCACTATTTCCTTACTTAGAATGACTTTGTATTCATAGGTAATGAAAATCTTGTCTTCAAATGATAATGATGAAGATGATGTTGAAGACAATTCATTTTCCTCGCTTCACGTTAAATTTAGTCAAACCATTTACGAGTGAATGAAAAGGGAACGCTCTCTTCTTCCCTCTCCACCTACTTGCCCTTCACCTCTTTCAGTTTCGAAAAGCCATTACCAACAGGCTGGGGTGAACGGGATCCCGTCATAGACAACCTTTTTTATCGCGTGACTAGAGTGTCATCTTAAAAAATGCTTGCAGCTTCTCTTGGGGACTAAATTTGCTCTCTGAAGACGCCAAATCATTAAAACACTGAGCGTCTTCTACAGATTCTGTATTCCTTTTTTGAGGACGAGTTTCCTGGCTCAACTGAGCCAATGCATTAAAATGTTCCTTAATAGCGTTCACGTGACCATGCTGGACATTTTCACAGTCTATGTTCCCTGTCTTTGCCGTATCGCCCAGCAGTACTGAAGGAGATATGGAGATCTCCTGAAAAGGATTATTCGTTCCACGCGTTTCTATCTCTAAATCTTCAACGAAAACATCTTTTAATCTGTATCGGGCTTTCCGTTCCATATTTGGAAGGTCATCCACGTTAGTTGATGAATGGTGGCCCACACTGGCGCCTATCAGTCTTTCCTGTCTCGGCCCGTTAAAGAAAGGCACAGGCTCAGATTGCTGAGTTTCTGAATATCGTTCAGTATCTGAAAGTACCTCTGTGGTGCACGGTAAATCTCCGCTGATGCTTGGTGCTTTTAGAAAGGCTTGGTCGGTGCATTTGTTAGAAGGTCCTTGGCCAAGCTGCTCAGGCACTGAGTATCGCGATGCATATAATACTAAATAGATGAAAGAGAGAGAAAAACAACATTCAGCTGGATCTTGCACAACAAATTAAAAAATATATATATATTTCACTGATAAAATGAAGCAATGTATTAACGTAATCGATGGATGGATGGATGGATGGATGGATGGATGGATGGATGGATGGATGGACGCACGAACGGACGGATGCACCGGGGAGGGAAAGAGGGACAGATGGAGGGAAGGACAGATGGATGGATGGATGGATGGATGGATGGATGGATGGATGGATGGATGGATGGATGGATGGATGGATGGATGGATGGATGGATGGATGGACGGATGCACCGGGGGGGGAAAGAAGGACAGATGGATGGATGGATGGATGGATGGATGGATGGATGGACGTACGAACGGACGGATGCACGGGGGAGGGAAAGAGGGACAGATGAAGGGAAGGACAGATGGATGGATGGATGGATGGATGGATGGATGGATGGATGGATGGATGGATGGATGGATGGATGGACGGACGGACGCACGAACGGACGGATGCACCGGGGAGGGAAAGAGGGACAGATGGAGGGAAGGACGGATGGATGGATGGGGAATGAGTGGGGTGTATATGAGACCAATTTCTTCCTTTATCTCGCCTTTTCAGGCTGCCGAGATGGCAGATAATAATTTCCGCCCAAAAATGACTCATGACCGAATAACAGACTGACTTTATGTAATTGCATTTACAAATGTTGTTTCAGTTTTATAAATTGTCTTACCACTTTCTGCGCTTTTTCCTATAAGGCTCTGATATGTATTGGATGTAGTGTCCTGTGATGATGCCCCACCTGAGCCGGTTAAACTAGTTAAGCTGGTATCATTGCCACTTTGAACAGGCAAAGGCGCAAAGGGCTCTGCGTAGATAATCTCATTGTCATTTGGGTGCCTGATAGCGTGCGAAAAATCTTGGAGAACGAGGTTTCCTTCCCTTTGATAGTTTGGATTTGTCACTGTGTAAACAAATAAAAGGCTTTGACTTAATGGTAAGTATAACCAAGGCCCTTAAGTTAAACGAAACGCATATGATATATTCCATTGATAACGATTCTCTTTCATACAAAAAATATGAAAAACTGTACTTAATCCACTTTTTTGGTACCGAGTCCAGAGCCACAATTTTACCATGTTTATACGACAGTGCAAAAGCTTTATGAGACCTTTTTGCAAGAAAAAATTTGATTCTTTTCTGAAAGTCGTTGAAAGTGCTGAAAGTGTTTGAGCATTCAAAATATGAATTTATTCACCACTTCGATCATTATAAGAACCGATTTTCAGCGCCTGGCCTGCGAGAAAGTTCTCTCAGGGTTTATAGGGGTGGGGAACACACCATGACCCCCACTTATGTGTTACGAAGTGGTTCACACTTCAAGTGCTACAGCATGTTACGCGTTGTTTGGATTAAAATAAATAAGTAACGATTTAGATGAAGCGCAAAAACTAAGTGATTCTTCGTCTACCTGATTCCTGTTCGAATTGGAATTTGGAAATGTTGGTTTTCGAGGGGAGGGGAAAACCGAAGCACCCGAATAAAAACCTCTCGGAGCAGGGGAGAGAACTAATAACAAACTTAGCCTTAATATGGGTTCCATGTCGGGATTTGAACCCGGGATAGATTGGTGAAAGGCGAGTGCTCTCACCGCTGCGCCACTTTTGCTCCCTTGGAGTAGAGAGTAAGATGATGTATACCTGTCTGTCGAAGTTCCGTCAGATGTGCGTTATTGCCTCTTTCAACTAATTCGTAAACAGAAAGGTTTTCTTCCTCAATTCCATTAACAGTAGCGTCCTGTCAGAAAAAAATGACATTAAAGCATGATTTGAGCTGATACAGAATCGACCATTGCTAAGAGTACTTGTGGAATTGATTCAGCTTTCCTATAAACGTATTTCACGGCATTCTGAAATCCGGGAAATATTTGCTTGCGAAATCCAGAGCCCTGGGATTTGGAATGCAGAATTCAGCCGAGGGATTTGCAATACCGCTATTGAATGAAATCTGGAATCCAAGTTCCACTATAACTCAAGGAATCCAGAATCCATTGCCTGTGATCCGGAATCCACAGTATGGAATTCAGAATCCGACACTGTCTTGAATTATCTTACACGGGGTGACACAGATGTTTTCTGCATTTTAAGCAATCTTAATTTGACCAATCAATATAGTCGAATTTCTTAACAGACACCTCTAAAAGTCGGACACCTAGAGTTGGTCCCTGCCTTTCGTTACTCCGTCAATAGGAACCTTAAGCAACAATGACGACAACAGCTACGGAAACGTCAGTTAAAAAGTGAATTCGCGCTACTTCAAACATTTATCTCGCTTATTCCAACTCATTCAATTCGTCAAATGTTGGCAAATTTTACTGGAGTTGAATTCTAAAAGACTGTATGAAAGTTCAGGAAAAGAAAAAGAAAGTCGTTGTCTTGAGTTCACGTTGTCAACAAAACAAGAAATTAGGCACTTTCAAGTTGTAGTCGTGCAGTGACGGCAAAGAAAAGTACAAATAAGCGTGATGCACGTGCAAAGTTGTTGTTTTGCTAATCTAAACCTATTGATTTTGTGGCGTTCTCGTTGTCGTCGAAGTCGTCGTTGGCTTAAGCTCCCTAATTTGACTGTCCATGAGCCGGACATTACTCTAAGATAGACACTAAGTGCTGTCTTAGAGAGCCCTGACTGTACTACCAGTTTTTTCAATTGAAAGCTATCTGTAAGTATAATTGTTATTTTTATTTTTTTTTTCTATTTAATAGGCAATTGAACAAAAAAGCTTACCTCACTTACAGATTGCACTTCTCCTAAAAATATAAAGGAAAAAATAATATTTTTATTTAGTATAACAATGTTCAATTGGTTGCAGTAATTTAGTTTAGTCAGCAGCTCGTAACCCATATTTGACCAATCATAGAAGTCTGTGATGCTGTAACTCAGTGAACCAAAAGGAATTCTAAGTTCAATCTCTTTCCCAGTGTCCTCTCACTCCACAGGGACGGGTAGGAGAGGACCCTGGGAACGAGCTTCTTCTAAGTTAGGGCAAGTGACCGGCTTTTTGCGCGGGAAAACTGAAACTGAAATATAAGAAAGACAGGCACGAACCAAATGATTTAATAATTCAATAATCTTCGTTAATTTTGCCGAATGTATCATGAGTAGACGTCATTTACTTAGACCGCATAAACATAACACATTTCAAAACAGGGGGTATCATTATCAAATATGACCTTCATGTCTTAATCGTCTCACTGTTTTACACGTCTTTCACGGTGTAATTAACATGAAGGCAAATTCAATGTGATGTCATCAGTTACGTTAATTTGGCTCGTTAGAATATGATTTTAGACATCGTGGTATTTGAAATTGATTTTTTTTGTTATGTTTATTGAACCATACTTTTTGATCTTTTCATAAGAATCTGGTATACTGAGGTCAAATATAAATTTTCAGCGATTTATAGTTCCAATATCAGAGTTGGTATTTTTATAGCTTCCTTAGACAATGATAAGACAAAAATTACTATGCAAACAAGATACTCTTCTATAAGAAACGCAGTTATTTGCTTGGTTGATTTCATGTTTAAATTGCCGAACAATGTTTTTCGATCAGCAAACCTCTGATAAGTTAGGCCTGTTTCAAACGTCGTGCTACTGCCGTGCTAAGCTGGCTCGACTGTAGCACGACACTAGCACGACTTGGTTTCAGACGTCGAATTTAATTCAGTCGAATGGAACGGTTGTTGCCGAAAACAAAACACAAAAATAAAAGAACGGTTTAGCAAACTTTTAAATGTATTCTAATGTATTTATAATTTATGAATTGAGTTCAGCACAGCAGTAGCTCGACTTGGTTTCAAACGTCGCGCTAATGACGTGCTAAAGTCGAGTTCAATTCGATCAACTTACATCGGCACGGCAGTAGCACGACGTTTAAGGAACCCCCAAAAGGATGTATTAGCGGTCGATGTGATTCACCGCAAAGTTGAAACTAATATATCTAGATAAACGACAGTCTGCTTAAAAATACATCGACCGACCTTGAGCCGCCTCGTTTCTATCCGTTCCAACGCGTCTGAAAAAATACAAACGACCATTAAAACTGAAAGGGACAGTTAACTATGGACAGTTAATAAAATAAATAAAATAAAATAATGGGCAGAAACAACAAAACCTACAAATAACCTTCAAATTACTTACATCAGATTGCCCATCCTTCGAGCAATACAGAGCAACAGCAGCGAAACGGAAATAACAAATATTCCTACCACTGTTCCGGGTAACACAGTTCTTAATAACATATTCATCACGTTATTTTCTGGAGGACTTGTAGTGCATATCTGAAGCGAAACAGGTGGAGGAAATCTCAGCAAACATGTCATTATTCCAAAAGATAAACAAATAAATAGAATGACTGTCTTTAGGTCAATCTTTTCTGCTGTGGCTTTTTTTGCCTTAAATCTAACGATCTGGATTAAGACGGAATCCATCAGGAAATTGAGTAATTTTAGTTAATGTTCAGTGGACAAAAACCTTGTACCAGAATAATTTAAAGCATATTTCATTCATTTTTACATTTTTCAAGGGCTAAAGATGTAACCAGTCATCAGCAATAACACCAAAGAAAATTTCTCATGGGAGCCCAAGAAAATGAATGTTAAATTTCACAAAATTACATCTTACACATGAATTTTTCAGAATTTTAACTGTGTTTTCACAATTCTTGTGAAATTTGACAATTATTTTGTCAGACTTCCATGAGGAATGTTCTTGGTGTTAATGCAGAAAACTAATTACATCTTAAGCATTTGAAAAACGAAAAAAAAAGAATGCAATATATTCTTTAAATTATTTTGGTACCAGGTTTTTGTCCACTTAAAATTTAAATTACTCAATTTCCTGGTGGATTCCGTCTTAAGCTGAATTTCAAGCCCGTTTGCTTGGATAGGACCAAACAAAACCAACAATTAGAACAGTTCTGCGATAGAGATAACGTTTAAGAAATTGTTTAAGAATTCATGTCTATAACATCACTCAGTTATGCTTTGTGTTTTAAACTTTTCAAAACACACGTGCTCGTTTTGAAAACATTACGTCAACAAATCTTACATATAAAAAGTTCACGTAATTATAGTAAGTGAATTCTAAAAGTATCTTTGAACTGTGCGGGAAACATACGCATGGATCAAAACCTATTTATTTTGCAACATCATGAATTAGGCCCTCTTACATAGACTAAACAGACTTTGGTGACTTCAGTGGAGTGTCGTGACACCAACACCGAGGTCAACATATAAATAATATATGCTAAGAGATTATAGAGGTAAAATACTAAGAGAGATTGTATGATTGGTTTTGGTTTTGTGTATAATTGGCTAAGAAAATGACGCGAAATACTCCAGTCAATTGCAACGCGTGGTGATGCAAAGGCAGGGTAATAACGATGGTATGCGACAGGTAATATAGTTTTACTTTCACTTCTGTGGTGGAAGTTCTCGACAAAAAAGTACAAAATAACATGAATTGGTTAGTTAATTTTTTTAATAGTGACTGAACAAGGCCGTCACGGGAAGAAACTTGTCTTTACCAAGCCAATATCAGAAAAACTACCTTTTCAAAATGCATCCTAGACATCTTAGACATTTTATTTATTACTTTTTGTTTTCGTAAGGCGGGCACCAGACTTCAAAATCTTAAGGAGGCAACCTGTATACTGACTACGGAACTGCGGAGCTAAAGAAATGAAAATTTCATCTGGAGATTAAGAGGTTTGATAAGGTGCATGAATCACTCTGCCTTATGAAGTGATATGGTTCAGGCATTTCTGATGTATTAATTAATTAAGCTCGCAATTTTCAAAGTAAAAAACTGGTAAGGAAACAAGGAAAAGCAATCTTAAAGCTAAAACAAACCTGTTAAAAGACCCCAAACTGAATTATACCAAGCGAAGATGTTGTAAGGGACCAAACGCCACATGATGCTCGCAAACAGCCACAAACTCAAATCATTTCTGATCACGTTTCGTTTTTCCTTTATCATGTTACCCCTCAAGTGATTATTCAGTTCTTCTTTCTTTTTTTTTTTTCGAGAGACCGTGGGCATGCGTAATCGTAGGTTTCCAATACTGCATATCTTCATATCGGAAGAAAACGTATCTTTATTGCTTCAGAGATACCAGATAATTTCAATTAACTCCATCAGTTGCTTCAAACAGAAAACACTGTCGTGTTGCTTGCAAATATAAGTTGTTTGATACAAATTATTCTCTAATACTAACAATAATCGTGCCTTTTTTTTATAATCACTCCTCAAAGTTTCCTTTCACAAATGAACGAAAATAACAACCCACGATTACCAATTATCTCTGCTATTTCCGATTTATTGACGTAAGATTCTAATTTCCATTGAGTTGAACAAAGATAAGCTAATGAGTGGTCATTTAGTTCTTAAATTTGTCAAAAGAAGTCAATCCAAACTGCGCACACGACATTTTATTGACTGATTAAAAGAGCTCTCCAGTTATTTTTGTCAAAGGCAACAAAACATCACGAAGAGCTACCAATTGTCTAAAGTCCCTACATTCAAAGCATATCCGTGTATATTTGCCTCAGGCTATAGGGTTTGAAAAACAACGACACAGCACGTTCTTTTATGAATATTTTCTTCTCTGAAAGTAAATCTGCCAGGAGGCAAATTTCTACTTAATAAGCTGATTTGTACTGGCCATTAATTTGTAAACCCGATATTTAACAGTGATTTTAGCTTACTGCCTAAAGAGGTCATTTTTTTAACTTTTGTTTTCTTGAAAAAGTGCCAAAGGCGAACTGATTCAAGAATAAGTTATTTTGATTACCAGAACAGTGAAAAATAATTGGAATCGATCAGGTGAAATCACCGCAAGAATCGTCACACTTCACGATTTCCTCCACATACTCAAAAGCTATAGCTATTATTTTTGGCTAGAGCCAGTATCACAAGAATGTAGTTTCATTGAATGGTCACACTTTAATAAGGATTTCATTCACAGACACAAAAGTAGAGCCATGCACCTTTTACATAACAAAAAAAACAGTACCACAGGAAAGTAATGCTCAGTAGCTTTCATTTGCATTGTCACACTTAAGGATTTCATTTAAAGACACAAAAGTTAGAACAACCTTTTACAGCATAATAAACAGTACCACCGGAAAGCACTGCCCAGTACCTTTTATTTGAATGGTCACACTTTGGGATTTCATCCACAGACTAAAAAGTAAAAAACACCTTTTACAGCATAATAAACATTAACCCACAAAAGCACTGCTACGTAGCTTAAATTTGAATGGTCATACTTTAGGATTGAGTGCTCGGACTCAAAAGTTAGAGCTATACATATACCCTTTGTGGTAAGATAACCGGTGCAACAGGAAAGTAGTACACTTAAGCTTGATTGTCACAAAAGATTCCACAGAGTTATATTGTTCGTCTGCACAACTGATTTTCGGACAAACAAATTACAGCAAGTCACGATCCATTCAAGAAAACCGTTTGTTCGCTGAGATGGTCCTTGGATAGCAATAGCAAACAATAGCATTAATAACAAGCAAAAGAAAAGGAGGAATAACTCAATAAAGAACTTAAGCAACAACAACATCGACGGCTACGAAAACGTCACTTCAAAAGTGAATTCGCGCTACTTCAAACTTTATTGCACTTATTCTAACTCGTTCAATTCGTCAAATGTTGGCAAGTTTTTCTCGAGCTGAATTCTAAAAGACTGTATCAAAGTTCAGGAAAAGAAAAAGTCGTTCTCATGTGCTCAAGTCCTCGACAAAACGTTAAACTACGCCACTTCCACATTTCACATTTCACATAATGCACCGACACGCGTGCAAAACGTCGACGGCTCTCTATTTTCAAAAAAAATTTGCAAAACCTTCAAAATTGAAAAACACTTAGAATGTTTCCCTGTTTAATGGTTTGCAAACTTTATCGCACTTATTCTAACTGGTAAAGGCGTCCAGTCAATTTTTCCGTCCTTGTGTTTCCACTGGCAAATTTTTTTCGTTGTTCGAGCTGAATTGACTAAAACAGACAATGTATCAAAGTGCAGAGCGTGGACTTTCAAACATGAAAAAGAAAGTCGTTCAAAAGAGAGAAACTAAAGCATTTAATAAACTTTGTGTTCAAGTCCTAAGCGAATTTCAAAATCTAGTTTGTTTTGGTATCGCGTATAATTTTGATTGGGGGAGGCACATGCAAATTCGCGCCGGAAGCAGGGAAGGCACGCATGCGCACTGCGTTTTTCACGCGTGTCTAATGCACCTTATTTGCCCCCCAACATTTTGCATAATCTTTGGTTTTCATTTCTCCTGGGTATTACAGCCGTCCCAAGAGAAATTGAAAACAATGCTTATGCAAAATTTTGGAGGGCAAATAGGGCGCATTATGGGAAATGTGGAAGTGGCGTATTAGACGCACTTTCACATTGTAGTCGTGCAGCGACGGCGAAGAAATGTACAAAAAAGTGTCAAAGTTTTGCCCAAATGTATTTAAAAAAGGTGACGCAACACAAAACAAAAGAAACCTAAAGTTTTTTAGTTTTATGTCTTAGCATCGGTATCTAAACCTATTGCAGTTAAATGGGATGCTTTTTATGATGTGGAGTTCCAATCAAGACGATGCCATCGCCGTCGTCGCCGTTCTTCCCGGTAACCGCGCCCGTACGCTAATATAAAAACCGACAGGACAACTCTTTGAACACTTTTTTGACAGAGTAACTCTCATATGAAGAGGCCCTAAACCTATTGATTCCTTCCTGATGTCAAATTCAAGACAACTCTTTACCTTTTCTGATATACTTTTCAAATTCACCGTTAAAAACATAACGGCAATATCAGTGGTTGAATACTGATTAGTGTGTGAAGTCCTCGATTGATGCGGTATTAGCTCTGTTCTATGCCCTTTACACGGCAGTATTACAAATCTACTAACAGTTGCTGATTTATGCGAAGATGAGACTGCAACATAACCAGTTGACGTCTTTGTTTGTGGAAACAGTGTGGTACATATAGATATTTTATCCCTTAATATCGTAGAGCCTTCTTGGATTATGCGCGTGGTCGATACATGAAAAGTTCGGAAAAGGACAGAATCGTTTCGAGTCGGTGTTTTTAATTGTAAGAACGGCGTTGAAGAGGCATCAAAAAATATTTTTTCCGTAAATATTGTGGAGCTCCCTTGGCTTATAGGCGTGGTTAATGTGTCAGAGGTTCGGAGAGGAATAGAAACATTTTTAGTGGGCGTTTTTACTTGTGAGAACGATGTTGAGGATGCAGCAAAAGATATATTTTCCCTAGATATTGTAGGACTTCCTTGGATTATGGGCGTGGTCGATATGTGTAAGGTTTTAAAAGATCTAAATGAAGGAGTGGTTTGTTCCACAATTTCCGAAGATGAGACCGTCGCCCTTTCTGTCTGCTTGTAAGAATGGACCGTGGACTTGCTCAAAAACTCTTTAAAAGGTGTGCTTGAATATATTTGTTGCAAAGTTGATGGGGGAGAGGCCATTATTGTTGTCTGGGCGTTATCCTGCTCAAAGGGACCTGTATAGATCAAATAACACTTAGCAGAAGCTGTTAACGTGTCGATTTATAATTAGTGTCGGCCTGCAGCCTCGGTGGATGAACATAATTCTTTATATCATACTCAGCCTCATTCAATTACAGTTAATATTATGTGCCTTAATAATTTTATTATAAAAAGGATAAAACTTATCATTTCTTTTTACCTACATCAGATACTTTTTTTGTGTTTTTTGTTACAGCTCATACTTTTAACAGATACGATCATGCCACGGGTTGGTTTGAGACTCTAAAAATCGTACCCTCTCATTATGAAACTTTTTAATGATTACGCGAGAAAAAGGACTAAATTAAGGGCTAAGAACTTTGGAGTGGACTGGCATGTTTTTCAATGACAACACAACTTTCATTTTAAATAAATTAAACTATTTGTAAGTTTTGATATTAGCTCCCTGAAGAAAATGGCCAACCTTCCTCTCCATGTACCTCCGGGCAAGCTTACTTTCTCCAGCTCTTGTTGCACGCATAGAGTGGAGAGAGCGAGGAGAACTTCCTCGTCCCGTCCCCAGAGTTGAGCTCGGGCATCTCCAAGAGAGCGTATACGTAGGCTAACCCTAAATGGCTTCTCTAGCTTTGAATGGCTTATGTTGAGGGTTCATTTCCCTGTCAAGTCAAAACCGTGAAACTTACCGTCGGTAGTTTTAGCTAACGTACTTACATTTGACTCAGTGAATCAATTTGTATAAATTTTAGATATATAAAAGTAAAACTTACACGTGATGGATCCCTTAAGTTTGAAAATCAAACATGGCTTTTCAACCGAGGTAAGACATGTAATGCTCAGCTTTATAACTCTGCCGTTAAGAAAAGACGAGAAATTTCCACTGAGAACCTGCAAAATGAAGATCATTATTTTGCAGATCAGTTTAGGTTTCCGAGAAACTTCCAACCTACCCCTCCCCTAACTCAAGGTCAACTATTACTTCTCACTTAGGGCAAAACGTGAGGTTAGGGGAGGGGTAGGTAGGCAATTTCCCGGAAATCTAAATCACTTATGAGGGGACGAGATGCAGATGACAAATGATTTTCTTTAGTTTATTTATTTTTATTTCTATTCTTGAAATTCCTTAAAAACCGGGAGGCATGACATCAGCTACTTTTTTTGCACGTGACATCCGCCGCAGGTTTATCGCACGTTTTCGCACGCAACGCCTTCTGGTGGCACACATTCCATCGTATAAAAATCGCACGAATGAATCACTCCGTTTTAATTGGACGATTTTATGTTATGTTTAAAACACGAACAGCATTGTTTAATCAAGGTCAAAAAAAAATTTGAGTGCGAACTCGAAGTGCAAGAGTTTTAGAATTGACAAAACACGAGCTGTGAGTGTTTAAAAACTCTTCCTCCATTATGTTTTTCTTGATAAAGAGTTGTTTCTTGACATGGATTGTTATGGTGTTTTCCTATCTTCAAATAAATAAAAACACTCCGCTAGAACCTAAAGGTCCTTGCGCGTTAGTACGTAATTGATTCCTTGCATTCAACTGGACAATATGGCTGCTGAATATCTATGACTTTTTTTATGTTACGTACTAGCCTGAAGTATCAAAAGAAAACTTACTTTTAACATATGATTATCCATTTTCCGGTGAGTCAAGCGAAATTTGTCGATCACTATCATCTTATCAATTGGCCGCCAAGTCTGGCAGTCAAGGTACATGCAAGAAGAAGCATTGATAGAGCAATTCCGTGGCGGAAGGTTTATGACCATTTCATCTCTGTCCGCTAAGAGTTTTAAAGGGGTTTCTTCACTCTCCATTGGAAACCGTAGTCCACAGTCTGTAAAAACATGAAATATTTTAGGAGTAAGAAGGAGTAAATCAGTGTTATATTTCTTTACTCATAGTCTAAAAGTTTATTCCCAGTATTCAAGATTTTTTAAAGGGATGTCCACACTCTAACAGAAGTCCACAGTCTGTAAAATAATGAAATTTTTTGGAAGAAGGAGTAAAACCTTGTCATATTTCTTTGCTCAAAGTCTAAAAGTGATTTATTTCTATTATCATGTGCTTCTGCCTACGTCTCAATGTTTCAGCATGCTGTGGTCTTCATCTCAGCACGTTTTAGCCTCTTAACGCCTAATTATATCTAATCAACCACCTGTCGAGCCATTAATACCATCTTCGGAATAAGGCTGTTATGAGCGCTTGTCTGGCGCAACTAGAGTCGACGGCGCAATATATTTACCACGGCTTGCTTGTGTCAACAATTCGGAGCAGGTGAACTGCCCCTGTATGGAAAAAGGGGCTATGTCACGAGGCTATTTGATATCTTTCCAAAACCTAAAACGTTTTCCTCATCAATTGAATTCCAAAAATAATGGTCTTAACTCGTTTTGTTCTTTAAGTCAGTAATTAGACATTGAAACTGTTTCCTGTCGTCTGTTGTAACGGATCAAGGATGGATATAGATTAAAACTTGAAAAAGTTGGACCGCAGCGTTTTGAATTTTTGAATGCTATGCCAGCAGAAATCACCAAAAAAAGTTATCATGATAACTTTTCCATAGCTTCACAGGAGCATTTTGAGTATGGGTAAAGACATTAAGTAATGACTTCAACCCTGAATTAACCTAAAACAGCAATATACTTGAGAGATAAGTAAAAATTGTACATGCATCATCTTGTTCTTTTTGATGACTTTTAAGGCAAGGTTTCTCCCCAAAGTTACTAATTCAACACCTTTTTGTAACTTAACATGAATTTAAGCAGACTTTACGTACCGGTCGTACTCACGTGCATACGTGGTATTAATTTTTTAGCTCGTAGCATCATTACAATCGCAGCATAGACAAGGGTTAACAAAGACAAAAAGCCAATATCCAATAATTACGCAAGCGTGAAAATCTTTTTAACTTATTTATTTTGTTAATTGTTATTGGGGTTATAAGAAAGGCCAGTTTTGGTTAATCACGAACGTCCTCTTCATAAATGAAATATGTAAACAAAGTAAAAGAAACAAGACGATAACTGCCTGCTAAGAAAATAACGGAATTGGACGGCTATTTCCGCAGTTACAAAATCGCCTTTTCATTCAAGTTTTAAGATTAATATCTCAGATATTCGTTAGATTTAAGTCGGAAATTCACAGTAATGCTAGCAACGGCAGTGGCTTATAGCAACAACAACAAAAGACAATACAAGCAACAACAATAAAAGTAACTTAAAAAAAAGTCTACAGGTAAAATGGTGTTGGTAAACAGAACAAGGAAAAATGGCTGTAATAGTTGCTGTTAATTCAATAATAAAAAAAGGGCTTACAATAAGTAATTTTTATATAATGTACCTTCAAGTTCCCTAAAATCTTCGTTATCCACACATTGCCATTTTCCTTTGAAGAAACTAAATGTTGCCGCATCGTTGCTGCAAACGCATCTGTCAGAAGGCATTCCGGCCGAAACGCCTAAAGCATTAAACTTAGAACAATCCACATTATTTCCAAAGGCCGGGACTATCCGAAAACCATCCTCCATTGAATTCAGCGGCGCAACTGATAGAAAAGAAGGTCTGTCTATAATAAGTTGCTGATGCAGATATTCCTTGCTTGATTTAAACACCAGGAAAAAGAAAATAACGAAGAATAAATACCGCATATTTTAAAATAAACTGGATGAGAACACAGTGAGAAGGCTTTGAATTAAGTACTGTGATTCATCTCTTGAATCAAAGCCCCCATAAGAAGATTCGATGAGACTTCTTTTTTCTCTCGTGTTTGAGTTCAATCTCCTCGCCTGGACGAATTAATGCATTTTTTTATCACACGAAAATGTTATTCACTGAATAAAAGGCTAATACCCAAAGTTAAATAGCGATACAATATCGTTTAATTTAACTGCCTTCGTGTGGGACAATAGAAAAATAAATATGGCTTTATCTACATTCTCGCGAAAATTATAAGGTCGAGTATGAAATATCTGACATTCATGTTTGGACTTTTCTAATTAACCGGTAATAAAAAAAAAGACATTTGAAAGGGAATTAGCTGACAAATGCCAAAAAATTAAACCTCTAACTGCATAATTTTAAATCGTTTCCTAAATTGTGCATTTTTTACGTTATTTTCTACAGACGAAAGTTAATGACTACGGCCTAGTTTAAGTGTTTAACTTTGGATCTTCCCCTTTTCGAAACCAGATTATCTATTCGGTTGTTGAAAAACAGTGAACGAGATTATATTTTATTCTACGTACAGTTTATTCGTAATATAAAGTCTGATGTTGGCGACCTTAAAATTAAAGTTATACAACCAAATCGACATAGAATTTATACTCTCAGTGCATTTCTTAATTAAAGTAAAAATTATTAACATTTATATTGGAAACCTCTTTATGTTGATGTTATGCTATTCTAGATTCTAATAAAGTTATCTTATGCTGGATTGTAGGTTTGAAAACATTTCCCACAATCAATGATCTGAAAATGTCAATTTGTGTGCACATTTTTATATTCTTGTACAATTAGGTACGATTTCTTGTTTACAACGCTTTGGTTGGTAAAGAATTCGCCCTTGCGTGCAGAAAGTAAACTAATGATTAATTCAATGATTAAAATGTCACTTAGAGTTTTAATATATTTACTAAGTTTACGTCGCTTTGTCGTCATTAATACCAGATGGCAAAAAACTAGAGGAAAATTCGTCTTGTGTCACGAGATTGGTTTGAGCCACGAAAGATACATGGACATATTTGTGGAGGCTTTCCGGCTTGCGGTGCTCGATTTTGACTCCCAGAAAAACACCGGACGTGAAAACCGTCAAAACTGAATGTTCAAATATAACTTTGAGTTTATGGTTTTTCATTTTTTTTTTCTCATTAATTTGTCAAATTTGTATGACAGAGGGGTTGGGGGGGATTCTTAATTTGAAAAGTTTGATTTGTAGGTTTAATGTAACCTGTGGCGTACCTGAAAACTAGATTTATAATAAGGAGTGGTGACTACCTGAATTGAAGTTTCAAGACTTAATCGATGGGCAGCTTAAACAAAAGAAAGACATCTTCCGACGCATGTCATAACGTTTCAGTGGTTTATTCAAAAGGGGATCAGATACACACAAATACGCGGTTCTTGCATCCTGATCATCGTTTTTGGGAAAACTATCTCAGGAATAAAGCCTAGTAAACTCCAAATAAAAGGAAAGTAGAGAAAAATGGGGAAGAGAAGAAATAAAAAACTAGGAATGAAAACAGTTTTCTTCCTTGCATATAGAACTGAAAGCTAACTGAAAGCAAGTCCTATATAACTGTATTACATTCCCTACTAATTGATACATTCAGTAATCATTTGTTACATAGTAAGTAATTCATATGCATTTGTTATTTGATGATGATCATATCACATATGGTTAAATTAATGAGGTAGAAGAGAGTTTTTCGTAGGAATAGTGTATAAGTACGACTTGGACCTAACGGGATAATGGATGATCTTCTTTTTGAAAGGATGCTGACGATTCTGTCCTTCGCTAGCCGCCTATAATTTGTTGCAGTCAATTGTTTGCAATCGCGCCGACTAGGATGAGAACTATGCACGGATTCTAAGAGAAAAGGCGGACTTACGTGTCTAGTGTCTAAAAGTAGAGGGAGGTCTAGGGGTTTGTTGTTATTCAAATTTTTTTTTTGACGAACTTGTCACCTTCAAAATTACACGTTTTTAATAAACTGTTTATTACTTTTGAGATGATTTAACGCTCTTCTTGAGCGGATGATAAAACGATTGTGTCGTCTCGTCTAAGGCTTGGTAGTCACTAGGATTAAGGTCCCTCATCTGTTCATAGGAATCGTCCCTGGTTTCTCTCTCAAGGCCCTGGTACTGAGTGTTGGGCCTCTCTAAAACGTGATACCTGGGATCCTGCCTATTAGGGACTTCTTGTTGATTCTTTTTACCAACTTCTATGGAAAGGTCCTCGTTAGCTACGCTGTAACTACAGGAATACTCAACACTATTTTCGAAAGCTTGTTGGCCATTAATGATTCGCCTGGGATTTTTATAATAATCTCATTTTTCGTTTTTCTTCGCATTTACTGCTAAACCAACCACTCGTCGTGCTGCTCGGCCGGAAGGTTCGTCGTAGTCGGAGTCTGATCGGAAACGCCTCGGTGAGCGTTCGGTGTGGGCTGACAATTCTTGGGTGTCATTCGTGGTGAGGTCGTTAGGTCCTTCTAGCACCTGATACAAGGGCGAGTTTGGAATGGACTCTGTGTCAGGTAACACTGAAAGCAATACGAAAAGACAAGATTTGACCATGTCAATATGCCCAGAAATTCAAAAAAGAAAAGCAAGTTAATATCAAAAAAGGGGAGTGAAGGATTATTTTGGTGAGTTCATAAATTATATGGAAGCTATTTAAAAGGGGGTGGTAGGGGAGTGGGGCTAATAGCATTTTGCTTGAAAATCATGTTCTCCTATATTTGGCAGTGTGTATATGTTAACAACAACAGCGAAAAATCAAACCTGTAGGTAGTGGCGACTTCTTTTGTTGATCTAAGCTTCCGCTGAAGGAAGAAAGGAAGGAAAAGGAGACTGGTCTGAATACGTAAAACGGAACATAGAGTTCAAAGAACAAAAAAGAGGGGAAAACCGCAAAAGGAAGAAAAAATGAAACTGAGATTAAGAATAAATGGATAGACGGACGGACGGATGGATTGATTGGATGGATGGATGGATGGATGGACGGATGGACGGACGGACGGATGGATGGATGGATGGATGGATGGATGGATGGGTGGGAAAAGGAACAACCAAAAGAAGTAAACACTTACGTGTTCTTTTTTCTCCAAAAGCAAAGCAAGAGAAGCGCCAGAATACCAATAACAACGACAGCACTAGCAACAATGGCCGACAACAACAATGTATCGAGCCTGCTGCTTCCTATTCTCTGCCAGTGAGTCCTGAAATTTGACAAAAAAAAACTGAGTTGAAACAAAGCAGTGTTTGATTGGAAAAGTTTCTTGCTGTGTTCCTGATTGCCTAAAAAATATCTTGCCCATTTCATTCAACCACTCAGAAGTGAAATGAAGTGGGTAGACTTGCATTTATTTTCTCGCGCTCAGGGCTGGCTAAATGTATTTGTCTTGAGATCTGGCTACATGGCTCATTTGTGTGCTTCAAAGAACTTGTGTGATTGGGCACAGATCCACAGAAGTAGATTTTTCGTTTTGGTTTCAGGATAGATAAAACGCACTTATGATTCGGCATAATAAATGACATGTAGGCGTTGTCATCTCTTATGCCTTAGCCACGACATAACGAGCCCGTCCCACATAAGGTTCTAACAATTCTATTAATCTTTAAAAGAACGTTAACAGTCGTAAGCAACCTTTGTACTATCCTCACTGGTATTCACTCTTGTAGAAGGTGAAGTATTGCTTGCAGCTGAAAGTAAACAAAACGAAAAGGGTCGAAACGTGTTAAGCATAAAGCGTCTTGAAAATACAACAAGTTTACCGTGAATGACTTAAGTATTGCTCAGATAGTTGGGATAGGGCTGGCAATAAAAAAAATTGATGGGATAAAAGACTATCTTTGACTCACTGATACGACGCAAAACTGCTAATCCAAACCAGGTAAAGTTGGAGCAGCAAGCGCTATCTTCATTGTTCCCTCAGGGGCACCAAACGACGGTTTTTTCTAAATGCATTGAAACGTCTTTTAAGGCTAACCAGAGTACTCTCCATCCAGTCTAGAAATGCATTCTAAGGGGAGCTATAAAATTTAAGTCTGTTCGGTCATCCTAGTTAAGCTTGAGGCTTTTCCAAAATACAAGGGCTTCAGTGTTATTTTCCTGCGTCGTTTAGACGCAATTAAACGTTTTATGAAAGTGAGAATTCTTCTTATTCCTCACTCCATCATATTTTTGAACCCGAAAATTTTAGGTTTTCTTTTTCTTCAAAAATTTGCCAAACATGGGGAATAAAACGTAAAAAAATTAAACTTCAGAAAATCGTAGGGAATTTTTAGATAAGCTTCGTAAATTGTACCTGTAGAATAGAAAATCCTAGGCAATAATTGCTTCTCCGATCATATATTTTACAGAAAACAGTCGTTGGGTGCCCCTTGCCCTTTAAACCTTGTTATAATACAGTTTGTTTCTATTCTTTTCAGTTTATAAGCCGCTCACAGTTGTTTGTACAAAATCTTATGAATTTCATGAGTTCAAACAAATTACCTCCTGAGTGAGAGGGAGAATGGGTACCAAGTGACGTCATTGCAGTGACGTCAGTTGTCCTCCTGTGAACAGTTCTGTAGGTCGTTGTCTGGGGAAAGGTTCCGAGTTTTGTTGACGTGTCTGTTGTTGTTGTTGTTGTTGTTGCTGTTGTTGTTACCGTTGTTATGGTTGCACTTGGCGATGTCGTTGCAGGAATGGCAGAACAACAGCCGCACAAGCAAGTCTTCCTACAGTTTTTAATCAGTTTAGGAGCATATGATTGAACCCAGCAGTTGCGAATATGAAGATGGCAGTAAGCATCATTGTAAATATTGACACACGCTATGAAAGATTCCAATGATAGATGCAATGTTAGTAAAACCACAAGTCAAAAGAAGCTAGATACAATGAAAGCATAAAAAGTAGTCAGTCAAAAATATGTAATATAAAATTGCGTTATGTCAAGGTACAGATAGTCATTAAGTTAACGAATTATGCCCTTTAATTTTGCAGAAAAGTTTTCATCTGGTATCAAATATAACTTGAACAAGTCTTGTCGGTTTTATTATCTGTGAGGCCAGCGTGATGTTGTCATTTATAATCTGATGATGGTAATGGTAGAAGTGGTGAAGATAATGGCGGTGTCAAGATGATGATGATGATGTTGGATGATGATGATGATGGATGATGATGATGATGATGATGATGATGATGATGATGATGATGATGATGATGATGATGATGATGATGATGATGATGATGATGATGATAATAACGATGATGATGATGATGATGATGATGATGATGATGATGATGATAACGATAATGATGATGATGATGATGATGATGATGATGATGATGATGATAATAGATGATGATGATGATGATGATGATGATGATGATGATGATGATGATGATGATGATGATGGTGATGATGATGATGGATGATGATGATGATGATAATAACGATAATGATGATGATGATGATGGTGATGATGATACTTTTTCTATTTGCTCATCAGCACAAATAGAGACGTTAGGGTAAAGAATGGTCTGGGAATTGACTTTTAAAGGTACACGAACTAAGTTTGCAAGCTAACGGTCCCAAATGACAGCTGTTGGATAGATTATGATGATAATTTCGACGACGACGACGTTAAAACTTACCAACCGTTCCTGAACAAACGTTACAGCTCTTAGGGCAGTTCTGAAGCATCCAAAAATAACTCTTTTGACACTGTCCTTTTGTAGCCCAATAGTCACAGTAGTTATGGCTGTTATTGCACGCACCTAGTTATCGTAAGGAACACAGAATCACACAGCCAACCTCGCTCAATTAAACGCACCCCCCCCTTACAGTTAGACGCCTCTCTCTCTGATAAACGTCTCCCGTTTAATGGAGGCTCCACCCTCTTCTCTCGACGGTAAGTAACCTGATATTTATTCTACAAATAGCATCTTCATCTTCAAATCTTGTAATACAATATAAATGGCTTGTACAATAAATAAATGGAGGAAAAAATAAACAAACAATAAACAAACAGTAAGAGACACGTTTCTCCGTGCTGAATGAGCCAAATTTCCCAAACCTTCCTATCTATTAAACACCCTCCACCCCCGGACACCTAAAATTAGATAACGCGTTGCAAGAAATTTTTGCGATTTTTCCAGCGATCCGCAAAAATAAGATCCCGCAAATAAAAATTACTGCAAACTTTTTTTTTCCCAAAAATTTTTGTTTTTCCCGGTCATCCTCGGATCCCAGGGGCAGATAGAACGGGGACGGGGAAAGTTTAAACGGGAAAAATGGTCTGAAAAGTAAAGAACGGCGAGAAGAGCCCCTGGGGACAATGTCTTACCAGACCAGTTCCAAACGGTCGCTGCCGTTCTGTCTTCTGATTGGTGCCAGAAAACTTTTCCGCCCCTTTAGACTTTCCCCCGTCCCCTTTATCTGCCCCTGGGTCTCCGAGGATGCTCCCGAGTAAATATTCTCTAACTTCAATTCGGTACACAAAAATACAGTACTAGGAAATCATGTCTCTTCAATCACAACTTGCCTCCTAGCTTCATTCAGAAACAAAAGAGTATACAATGAATTACTGGTTATAGGGTACGAATACCGTAGTACAGTTTGAAAATATGTATTTCTATTGCACATACTTAACAAGAGGGTTTCAATGGGGTTAACCGATAGGCGTAAAACGGCCAAAAATTTAGTCGATAGCCGTAAAAATTGAAAATTTTTAACCGTTAGCCTTAAATAGGGTAAACAAGAGTTAACCGTAAAGTAATTTTTTCCCTAGATTTGTTAATTTTAAGGAAGGTGCTACACTCACTTACGGAATGCGTTTTTTATTTCCCGGGTACTGTGACTCCGTACACACGTTACGCCAAGTGCCTGTAAGTTGTGACTTAGACCTAGTCTCCATTTCCGCTGCTCTCTCGGGGAACTACATGTAATTTGTTCCATAGCGAAAGTTTGGCTTCTTACTGAGGATTATTATTTGAAAACACTAGTGAAACAACACGCAGAGATATCACTGTTTGTAAAACACGTTGCTGATAAACAACAATTTCCTGTTTTTCTCCGACGCTACGGTAGACATTGCCATGCCTAGTCCCTGTACAGCTTTTATCCCACGCAATCTCAGTCAAGGCATTTCGGAGGCGAACTCCCTCGGACCACGTGACCCGAAACGCATTAGCCGCGCGGAATGATGAGGCCTACGGACAAGTCAACGGCAGACAGTCGTTCTGTACAGTCCTTCGCTATCATTAAAAACACTGGACACGGGAACTTTTTTCATCGGCCGTTTTCACACTAGAGCTAGAAATGGATTATTCGTCTGAGACTAGCCTGTGTACAGTCGCCCCCTCCCCCACAGACACCCCTTTTCCGATTTTTTTCTGAGGGGAGGGGGCTGCTGTACACAGGCTCTCTGAAATGGATAATCCATCTTCAAATTGTCCGTCAAAATTGATGGATAAAGTCAGGCGGATTGTTCATTCAAAATTAAAACTATTCCATTCAGATTAAGACTTATTACCTATCTGACGCGAATCATCAAACGGACAACCCTCTCACACGAATAATCGGTGTTTAGTGTGAAAATGACCATTTCTGTTACGAATGTCGCGCCTCGGCCCTGAGTTGGGCGCTCGCGTGTCTGATTTAATTTGCTTTTTCACAAAGATTATTTGATTATTTTTAAATTGACTCCTGACATTTCTATGTGTAAAATAATATTAGAAATGAAATACTTTATAAAGAGTATGATCTATCAAATGTTAAAATTTTTCAAAAGAATTGCTTATTTCATCCCGAGATGATCCGAAGACCTTTATTTTGCTTTAAAGATACCAAAAATACAGGATAATTAATATTTAACTATTTGAAACAAAAGAAATTAATTTTTTAATTTTTTTGTTAACCGTAACTGAAAAAAAATAACCTATAGCCGTAAAAGAGCCAAAATTTTAGCCGATAACCGTAAAAACCACCACCCCATTGAGACCCTCTAACAAAATCGAAAATATTATCAATTCTGGGTGGTGGGTACTTTCTCAAAACGCAAAAATGAATTTCCAGTGAGAAAAACTAATCTGTCCTAATCGCAAAAATTAGCTCCGGCAAAACACAAAAAATCGCCAATCCGCAAAAATAAACTCCCGCAAAAATTTCGTACCCCACAGTAGACGCCCCAGGCGTCAATTAGATCATTTACGGTAATAAAAGTTGCGTGACATTTTAATCTTACACTATAGATCGAGTATGGATGAAAATTAATGTTTAAATTGACGCAAATAGATTTCCTCATATGTAAAACTTTGCATTCATTTCACTAGAGAAAGCTAAGTCTTCCCACATACACAGTCCTCCCTCGCTGCCTCTCAGTTCTTTTCAAATCGAATCCCTAGGACCAAAACTTACCAACCCCTTTCAAAACACCGACTTTATCAAAGCAAAACTGGGAAGTAAAACATGCCTAAATAATATTCTTCCCGTCCTCCTATTATTAGATTAATTTCTCTTTCCATCGACCTTTTATGGGATGGCTCTCTGAAAATAGACTGTCTATCACGGTCTTAATTTGTTTTGCCTGAAGGAAACATGACACTTAATTTTTAATACGCATTTGTAAATTGGGGCTGTGCTGAGGGCGGGAAGGTGACATTCAAAATCTACTCTGTTAGACCTATTACTTTTGAAGAGTTTCTTCTTATACAAACAGCTTTCCTTACCTGATGTAGATATATTCAACATGAGCTGTAAAGCGAAGAAAATGAAGATCGATTCGATCGAAACCCTCCGGACAAAAGTCATGATAATAATGGCCTCTATATATGTGACTGTTTCATGTAATGTTTTTACGTTGCAAAATATTCTTCTCGACAACCATACCAAGGGCAGGATTTTCTATCCATCGACGAGCGAAGCGCCAGTAGTTTCAACAGACTCGACTCTACACGTAGTAAACCGTTTGAACAAGTACTAGTTTATAGAGAACTATTATTTGGGTCTATTTACACTGTCTGAAAACATTTCGTAACACCCAGTGCAAGTGTTGAAAGATTGAAATGTCCATGCTACTCCTAAAACCTTTCATTTTCCATGGTCAACGCGGTTAAAAAGTTCAAATAATTGCGAACAAACGTGGATTACAAGTATCGTGTCTCATATTTCTCAGGGACGGAGCTAGCGAGGGGGATTTAATTAGCACCAGATCTCGCCTAAAAATCGTAACAATCGAGAAAGGTGCCATAGGGATGATTCTCTCTCCTCAGCTCCTGCTGGGTATCCCAATAAGAGCTAGCAATAACCTTTCTCCTTCCCATCGTGCCCCGCGCTTTCTTTTTCTTTAGCCTCCCTGGGGAATATCAGTCTGAGGGTATAAAAATGGACTGCGTAGCAAAAAATAGGCTTGATTTTCGTCGCTCCCTCGGTCGGGTCTTGTTTTGCCCCGAGAAGAGTTTTTTTCGTGGGGGAGGCGGGTTCATTTCCCGGACAACGGCTGGTCGGCTTGTAGTGGAGCCTGAAAAAAAAAAAAAATAGAAAGATGAGGGACTGGCTTGTAGTGTAGATCATTTCTCAAGAAAAAAGAGCAATGAGGAAAAAACATGATACTGAAAAACATAGCATCGAAAGCGTAAGCGTTTTTTTTTTTTTTTTTTTTTTTTGCAAATTTTAAATATCCCGCACTGACATAGTATCACTCAGATTGTAAACATCGGTGGACATCTAGTTTTTTGGGACGTAGGGCAATTATTTTTCGCCTAGCCGAATTTTTAAAATACCTTTCGAACTTGCCTGTTTTTTTTGTTTTTTTTTTTTTGTTTTTTTTTTTCATGCATTCAACGAACCCAAAAATCAGACTATGGAAGAAAAGGAGAGGAAAAATAGAGAGAGCGGAGAAAAGAGAAGAGGGCAAGCGAGTACGCTGTTACTTTCTTACACTGGCTCTATTTTGGGAACGTTTTTAAACGAAAAAAAACACTGCGAAAAAAACTGGCTCTTTTGGCCTGAGTCATCTTTCCACTGAAAATCAGGCTAGACTCCGTATTATTGGCCGCTAAACTTAAAACTTGCCTCATCAACTCGAAAAACTCAAGACTGGCCGGGACTATCACTTTCTAGTTAATATTTATTTTTTACTTATTTAAATGTAAGTATTTATTTATTGCTCTTTGGGATCTGTGTTTTTTGTTTTATTTTGTTTTGTTTTGTTTTTTTGTTTTAATAATCATTCCGGAACACTTGGCGTCATATACAGGCGGAGATCACAGTAATTTCCTATGTGGGAAAGTCAAGTCCATTAATGGGATAACTAAGCTATGCAGACAGTGGCTCAATTTTATTGATTCTAGATTGACGTACAAGCTTCCGGCTTTACACTGGGCTTGTTTTCGCATGAGTCGTTTTAGTCTAAGAACATGACCAGTTTAGAGAACAGTATTAACTTTGATGGCTTTACCCCTTTAATTAGAATTAAGAGTGTCAAGGCCTGAAAAGGACCACGAAAAATATCGTATACATTTCCTGAAAATGACACCATCTCTCAGTTCGGAAATCTTCTTGTTTGTCGGCCGGATGCCTTCTAGGGTAATTTGTTTGCTTCGTAGTTCCTAAGGTTTGGTCAACAGTATGCCGGATAAGAGAGCAATCAGAAAATTTTCTGCCAAAATAATCGAATCACCATTTGAAAGATCATGTGATGTCCAATAAAACTACAGCTGTAGATAGAGAAATCATTGTTTTGTCGTTTGTTTACTATGTTATAGTTTGCTTTGCTTTGCTTTGCTTTCAACACCGTAAGAATAGACAGTCGCAGGTGAACCTTAAACTCAATGAATTCTGAGGATCAGTAGCTCCCAGTAAAGTTCAGCATAGCTGGTCATAGCAATAGAGAATACTGATTCGTGATACTGTCAGAAACTATTCGCAAATGAAGAATCCCTGAATTTGCCCGACTCTATTATCACGATAATCCTTCAGTTTCATTTTTAATAACCATCTATGATCAAAAGCATTCACGAAGTGTGTCCTTGTACCAGAATAACCTAATAAGCATTTGTTTTTTAAAAAAATTCTATTTAAGAAACTATAAATAATTTTTTCCTATAAAAAAAATGTCGGTTACATACTTCTAGGATTACCGACCTTCGAGTCAGATTTCCGGACCCCTCCCCGGAGGAATACAACAACAACGTTATCAAGCTACTCGTTTCAGTCCACCTCGTCTATTTTTCAGCTAAAAATGGTGGACGGACGTTCTGACAGTTGCAGCTCTCGACAAAGTTTACAATTACTGTTCTGTTATAAAGCCGACTTCGGTGGTTAAATCGTGCCTGATTCCACGCAGATGTTTTAAACTGAAACTTCTCTCCTATCATAGTTCTGGATCTTTTGTGGATCAACCAAAAATAGCAAGTGATTCAATATTTGGATCGCGTCTACGAACTCCGCAGACAGTTCCTCGACAAATGAGGTTCGAGAACGGAGAACAACATGGAATAATTATGCAAACGCTTCAACAGCTGATAACTTATTTCTTCATTCCACGCAGGGAAATTTTGTTTATGCTAGAGGGTAGCGTATTTCAAGTTTAAACGTGAAAAAGACCGAAGCTGCTGGCCGAAGTTTCAGGAATAAGCTTGTGCAAAACCACATTTTCCGGTCGAAAAATACAAACCTATAAATGAGCCAGTGTTGACGCATTCCGAGTTCCTGGAAAGATACGTGACAATGTTGTCAAAAAAGGACTTCAAGTGAAATCGCTGAACCAAAGTTAATATATATTGTAGGAAACAAAAACTTTTAAAACACTATTAATCAGAAGATTTAGGAACAGGATCTACAGGAAAAGGGATTTTTGCGATGCTGGGGACTTTGATGCGACTAGACGTCATTCAGAGATTCAACACACTGGCATGTTTGTTCATTTTACTACAGTTACAACTGTTTGAACTTTTGTTTGCCAAGGAATTGACATGTTCAGTTACTCGTCAGTATTCTGGAGATCGTATTCTCTTTGTTAATTACAGCGGAACGTGCAACGAACAAGTTAATCCGTGTCAAAGAATTAGTAACAGCGCGTGGTTAGATTCTAACAAAGGCTGCCGTTGCCAGTGTAACGAATCAGCTGCAACTTACAGAGAAGATAATGGGTCTTGTGTTGAAAACAGGATAAACAGAGAAGGTAAGCCAAAGCTACAAGTAAATTCGGCTTTTTATTTTATACTTTGTTTTTGTTAACTGAAATGCAGTGATATTGGCATTCTTTTAAAAAATATAT